TTAGAGAATATAAAGTATTTTTATTATTTTTTTTTTTTTTTTATCTTTCATATAGTATATTTATATATTTTTAGATATTCTTTTTCCTTTTACTTTTTTTTTTTCCCATAGTAGTTTTTCAAAATTAGTTATTTAGAGGATAATAAGTAATAATAATTTGCTAGCAATAATATTTAAATTAAAAGAGTGATCACTAAAAATCTACTATGAAGTAAAATATTGTTCTCAAGATTATACTTAAAGTTAAAGCTCTTTAGAAAATTGAAAACTATTGATGAGTGAATTAGCATGAGATTTAGTTTAGATATAATACAATTGTTCTATATATTTTTATTAATTTTCTTAATGATTAATAAACATACAATATTAATCTAACCCTAGATTTAAAAAAAAATTAAATTAAAGTTAATAAATTAAATAAAACCAAGTTTTATTTTTTTTATTGATCTTTTAATTATATACAAAAAAGATATTTGATAAAAAGTTTTATATTTCTATATTAATAAAATCCTATTGATTTCTTTAAAACTATTTGAAAAATAATTTGAAAAGTTTTTTTACTCTTTTTTTTATTTATTATATTTCTTTCCAAATAATAATTTGACTTTAAGTAATCAAGAAAAATTAAGAAATTAAGAAATATCTTTTTTATCTATAATTAAAAAGTTTTAAAAAGAAAAAAATTAATAATAAAGTACTAAAAACTTATATTCTAAAACAAAAATATATATAAAGATTTTTTATAATAAAAGAATATATAAACAAAAGTCTAAACTTTGAAAACTTTTATACATATTGTTTTTATCTTCTTATAATTATTTATTTATCAGGACTCTTTTTGCTGATCCTCTGACTACACACAAAAAAAACCTTTAAAAAGAAAGGTTTTGCTCCTTTTAACTAATAAAGTCCTAATACTCTCCCCAAATCAATCTGAAGTCAATCTTCAGGAGCCATTTTTATTTTCACTTTTTTCTTATTTACATTTTACTTTATACAAATCTCAGTCTCTTGTGATTGAAAAGATTGAGCAACTACCTTTTCTACTAATAGCAAGAAAGTTTTGAAATAAATAATAACAGATATATAGTTATCTTACACTGTAGAGAAACACTATATAATCTTGTATGGATACAAGAGACTTATATTTATCTTTTGCTCCTTAAGTTTGGCTATAAGAGTACTCATTTTATGATTTTTCTGGAGAATTTTGCCTACCTCTGTTTGACTCTAAATTTTGAGTAGTACAAAGTTTCCTACATTGTGATTAGACACAACCAAATATATAAAAAAAAAAGAAATAAACAAGCTTCTATTGGTCATCTTATATATTAAAATATATTTCCTTAGCTCTATAAGAACCTAAGATCCATTATAAGTCATATGTCTATGTCATGGATAGATAAAGAATACTATTAACTTCTATATTAGTAATAAAGTGAAAGAGAAGAAATATACTTCTCTTTTTACTTACCTAGAAAAATAAATAAAGACAAGACTCAAGGGAATACAAAATAAGGACAATGCCTTAAAAGTGTCATGCCTATCTTTTATCATAAGCTTATTGAAAATTAGGAAGATCTCAGGATTACTTACATCTTATAATCAATACTAACTTGTAGTCACTTAACCAAAGATACCTGAAGAATAGGACTGTAGACAATAGTTCAATTTTTATAGATGGTAGTACTCTGGAGAAAACAATATAGTATTTATCCAGTCTGCCAAGGTATATGTCAAAAGTATCAAGATTCTCTTTTATAGAATGGTGGAATTGCAATGTTAAAAAAGGATAGACTGGTAGATAATGAGTTTCAAACTTTTCCTCTCTTTTATCTTCTCTATATTCTAGAGTCTTTATAACATTTCCAATTTGTCATCACCTAGAAGAAGATCTATAGAAGATCCTATACTAAATAGGATATTGAAAAAATAAAAATGGAATTAGTAGGCAACAGTTGAATATAATCAAACCATTTCCTTCAATTCTCTGGTATCTTTTTTGTAATGCAAAATTTTCACTCCTGTTTAAGCTTGTATAGCCTTGTCCTCTTATTTATAAGAATAATTAGTCTAAGGAGTTTGGTAGGATATCTAACACAATATTATCAAATAAGCATAAATTTAGATAAATTGCTTGAAAAATAGCACATATTCAGGAATACAACCTTTTCTTTCTTTATTTTTTTTTACATATTTGAAATTTATTTTACCATTAGTAGGGCTATACATCAATTCTCTATTCTTTAAAGAGGTAGTCTAGCTACAAGATAAAGTGATTCTCCAAGGAGATCTTTTATTGTTTCTACTTTATTAGACAAGAAAATTCAGATATATAGTTTTTGAGTTACTTCAATTCTTGTTGTACCTATGAGTTTCAATAAAATATGACAAAGTCAACATTATAAAAAAAAAAATTTTTTTAAATTTTATAAAAAATTTTTCCTATTTTATTTTGTTTATGAATTTTGAAGTAATATAAATACAATATATAAAACTTTTACTAAAAATAATTAATTAATATCAAATATATTAATAACAAAATATAAACAAGTCTTACTAAGTTTTTATAAAACTTTTTTCACTGATCCTCTGATCTTACATAAAAAAGATGTTTGCACGAAGTTTTTACACTTCTTTACTAATAAAGTCTTAATATTTTCCTTAAAACAACTTGAAGTATGGCTTCAAGAGTTATCTTTATCCTTTTTCTTTTGTTTATAAACCTTTTTACTCAAAAAATTGACTAAATAACACTTTTGATATCAATAGCAAAAAAGTTTCCAAAGGAAGAAAAACTAATTGTGAGGTACTTGAAGATCTATTTAATCTTTAAAGTGAGTGGTTTTCTGCAATAAAAAGGCTTATTTTCTCCTCTTTTGACTGTCTTGATCTTCTTAAAGCTTCCATTTTGATAGTTTTTCGAGAAATTTTGTTTACTTCACTTTGATTCTAAATTTTGGATAGCACAAATTCTTATCAAAGATGATTAGCTAATATGAAACATATTAGTTTTGAAATATAAACAAGCTTTTATTGATCATATTTATGTGTTTTAATGATATTATTAATGATTGAAAAGAAGATTTTAGAAAAGTTTATCCCAAAAGCTCAAGTCCCTTAATGATATCTTTTATTATACCAAAAGATCAAGTAATGAATAATATGAATAATGAAAGCTTTAATGAAAAAAATATAAGGTTTAAATGCTTTTCTTGAGATATCCCAATTTATTGTTTATTTAAATGAAAGATCAATTGGATTAATTTATCTAATGTCATAAGTAGTAAAAATAATATTTCTTCTAAGGTTCAAGTGAAGCAAGAAGACTATTTCAATCAGACAGATTCTTTTTGAGAAAAGATTGTTTTTATTTTGAATTTTTTGGGTAGGTCTTGAATTGTTTTTTTTTCTAATTGTTTTTTTTTTAACTTAACAATTTATTAATTTTGGATAATTAATAGTAATAAACTGATAACAATAATTTTTATAGATAGTAATTATTACTAATTTATTAGGGAAATATAATATTGTTTCCAAAATTTGACTTAAAATACTTATGTATGAAGATGAGTTAGTTACTTTGTGAAAGTCTGTAAATTATTGTAGATTTACTTCAATTTTTCAATAAAGACAAGCTATTGTGACATGATTACAGGTTAAAAAAAATAATAATAATAAAATAAGTTTTACTAGTAACAATATATATATTTTAATAGTATTATTGATGAATAAAAAAGAATTACTAATAGGTAATCAAAAAATAGATCACTGATAAATATAAATAAGTATTCACATAATTTATCAATAGATTTGAACCATTAAATATAAATAGAGCATAATATATATTATAAATAGTCAGTAAGAAAGAAGAGAATATAGCAAATATTTTAATCAATTTCTCAAAAAAATTATGATGAACACTCCACTTTATGGGCCTCATATCAATTATTATAACAAAGAAATAATGAATCTAATGGACTAGTAATTTTATTACTATAAACATATACTATTTTAAACAGTATTATAGTTAAGATATTGGAAGTTGATGTGATGACTTTTTACAAGGAATAAATTCTAACTCAGCATATTACATATCTTTGACAACAAGGTAAAGGGATAAAAGAAGCTCTCTTACAACCTTACATTGAAGACAAGTTTATAGAAATCATCAAGAATACTGAAAACTATACTAAACCAGAGTGACAATCCATGAAGATCATTAAATAAACAGATAATAAATTAATAGTAGACAATGAAATAACAATGACATGTATACAAAAGATAGAAGAGTTTGAATTTCAGAAACTTCAAGAAACAGTCAAAAAACAATGTATTAGTAAACACAACTCTTATATTACTAGGAATAGAGACATGGCAACACCAACAAATTTGTACTTCATAAAAAAGAAAAAAATCTATAGATTAGGTGTAATAACAATCAATATTTCAGAAGAAACAGAAGATAAAACTAAAGTCTATCTAGGCAACATCCTTAAACTTTCACAAAAAAAAAAAGAAGCCTGTTGAGAAAAGAGTTTATTAATAGAAATAAGTGGTTAGTTTTTTGGATACAAGAGGAAGAAGACATTATAAGAAGTATAAAATAACTTAACCAAGAAGAAGACAACTTTGCCATTCAACATATAACACCTCTGACTACCCACAAGAAACAAAACAAATTAATTACTGAATCGTTCAATGAAAATAAAAATAACAATAATTTAATATACTGTATTACTGTAAGCAATACGGCAACGAACAAATACTGTATGTTTGGCATAACATGTGACATCTATACAGTAAGTCAGACCAATCTATTTATTGTAAAGTGAGGTAACTCAAGATGTTTTCCGCAACCCTTTTTCTCATTATTAACGTCGACCTAAAAAAAATTGGCAGTTGGAGAAACCAATACTAATACAACAATGAACTCTCAGTATTTAGCAGGCAACTAATGTGGGCAAGTAGCTTGGTTCACCCTCGTTAAGCTATCAAGTCTAGCGATGATCAAGAAACTTGATAACTATTACGTATAAACCTAACTTATAAAAGCTACTACGTCTTAAAGCGAGCGGTCTAATTCACGCGACAAGGAAGCGAAAATTGCGCAGAGAACTTATCCCACACACACTCAGTAAATTCAACGAACTAATCTCTTTTGCACCCCACCGTTTTTTCAGTTCTCCATATCTGCATCAAGTCTTTATCTTCTCTTAATGCCAGTTTCATTACCTTTTGCTTGGATCTTTCTTCTATTGCACTAACCTCTTTTAAAATGTCTCGAACAAAGTTCATCATTTCACGAACATCTGAATCATCATATTTTCTTTTCGGTGGTTGTGACCGATTCCCATAATTTTTATTTTCAAATTCTGAAGTTTCTTTGTCCGTCCGTTTTTGAATAATTCTATTGCCAAGTCTATCTTTCATAGCATATTATTCCTCATAGTTATTACCTAATACCAAAAGAAATACGTAATGAGACATTTACTTTTATACGAAATTAATGTTATATTATAAATTATTACTTGCCTAAACATACAACATCGTACGCAAGAATAGCAATACGTATTTTTGAAATAAAGTTGCATGTGGTACATACTTTAATATATTAAAAGGGGTTATCTCACCAAAGATTTTATCAAACTTTTCGATCATGAAATCAAGCATGTATTTAGAATGTCGGTGTCGCTAAAATCTGGATTTTTCGAAGGATGCCGTTTGGCAGCAAAGCTCTCAATGACCTTAGGAGGAATCGTATATTCATTTTTAATAAGGAGCTCGTTAAGTGCCTTTTCAACCAAATTAAAATGAGGATCGATAATGACTCCCTGCTCCTTGTTGGTAAAGAAAAAATCTGCTTGAAAGGTGGGGAAGACCATTTTCGGCTTAGCTCGGAATTATAAATATTGACCACTTCCTGTCTAATGGATCAAAAGTATGTTTGAATGTACTCTTTACATTTTTTTAATAACACCGGACCTCAAACATTTAGAGTTTTAATTTGAGCTTTAAATTGACCCAGATTGGACTTTGACTTGATTACGAAATTTGTAATTTATTTTTTAGGGTGATCCTACTGTAAATTGTATTAACCATCGGTCACCACATGAGTATATGCGAAAAAGTACTGTACAAAATCAAAAGTATTCATGCAATGCCGTATACGTAAGAATTTTTATGTTAGAAACGACGATATGCTGTACTGTAAATTGTGAAAATTATCTATGACGTGGCAATGAATATTACCAAAGCTACACCTGCTAAAACCGATAAAACCCTTCTCACGACTCCAAAGTTCCAACTAACATTAATCATATACAAGATATTGGATGTGTAATGTTTTTGTTTTTTCCAATTGACATTTAACCATTGAATTAATACTTAGACTACGTAATAGTCGCCTGACGACGATTATAGTAACTCTAAAAGAGTCTAGAGCTTTGACGCATTGAACATAGCATGCGCACCTTGCCTTATCAATTCTGATTCAATAAGTTTTTTTTGAGACTACCGAACTAATTGTTCACATTAAATTCCTAGATCAAGTTTCCCTTAAGAGAATGTATGAAGAAACTCAAAAATTTCTAGACCCCAAATGCCTGTTCGACCTTAAGAAGAGAGGACTCACTACTCCTGAAAATTTTGTTGCATGGTGGAACGAGAACCATCAAGATTTTTAATCACAGTTGATTCCATCGAGGAATGGGCTTATCGCGAAGATGAGGGTCCTTCCCGCTAAAATATCCACCGGACTGAATATGGATATTAAGACTAGAGTACCGCGAACAAATATCGGAGTTTAATAAAATTTCTTTATACCATTTTTATTAACCAATTTAATCAATGTAATTTTCATAATAACTGCTATCTTATTAAACCATAAATTATCATAAATAAATTTCAGATTAATAGTGAAAAACATATGCACATCTGAGCGCGAAAAGTGTAAGACAAACGCGTCATAAATAAAATTGTCAAACCCACTACACCTCGAACTCTATTTATTTATTTATTTATTAGTGTGCCATAATTGAGTTTGGTTGTCTTTCTTGGATCTGTTATCCCTTTTTACCCCTGTTACGCGAGCTGCTAGGGATTATCGACAGACTTGCGTTAGCCCGCTATACAGTATACGTATAGAGGTACTGTACCTCTGATTATTATGACGAAAGGTAAATATGATTCATGAGCTCTGATAATTTTTTTAATTTAAACCCACTTTCAGGCTAATACTATATGATTCGTCTTTTATTGTTTAGTATTTAAAATCTTTACAAATTACTGTATATAAACTTTCGCAATATTAACACACCTGTCATTGAAGTTTACTTTCTCTTGATTGTTTTTTTTTTTTTTTTATCATATATTTAGAAACAATTGAGATTAATATTTTTCGAATTTACAGATCACTAGAAAGATCATATTACAAAGAGGATCAACTATTTACATGTCTCAATCTAAATTTAATTTAATTAGGATAAAAAAAGATATTTCACTTGTCCAATGTTATTGAATACACAAAAGGGTGCATTGCTATTGGTAATTTGATCTATTGCTACAGTATCTACTATGAGATCTAACATGCAAGATATTTTGATACTATCGGATTAGTATAAAAATTTTTTAATGGAATAAAAAATGAGAAAGATAAAGAAATAAAAGAGTGACTAATAACTGTTCTCTAATTCAACTTTATCTCTAAACAATTTTTAATAGTTTGATATAATAAATGCAGTTTCAATAATTAGACTTATTTTATTATAGTAATCATTAAAATATTTATACTGAATTAAGTTAAGAATTATTGTTCAATTAGTTATATATACTTTATTAAATATAATATGAGTTATTACTAAAGTTAAATCACTAATTTGCTTGTTTTAATTTGTTTTTAAACTCTAAATGCAACTTTGAAAATGATTTGTTACTTCATTTATAGTTTGGATTAACATCCTCCTACTATTAATATTGTTGCTTGCAATGCATTACTGCAAATCACTATTTGAAATTCTGATCAAGCTTAAAACTTCAAATATTTTATTTAATTTTTGATTCTTGCTATTATTATCTTAATAAAATATTCACCTAAATATTTTTTTTCTATTATTTTCTTCTATTCCTTATGATTTTCATTTTTCTTGTTATATAAAATTTTGTGAACCTCTTTTTTTTTTCAAAATATTACTTGGACCTTCTTCTATTTTATTATTCTCTCACATTTTTTGATTTATACTTCTTTTCTAAAATAATTCAAGACCTTCTTTTAATAGTGAAATATCTATTTTCTAATCATGATTTCAATCTTTCTTCCTTTATATTTTAGTTCTCTTACTTTTATTATTAGGTTTCTTTTAATTAGTCTTATAAAAAATTAATTATATTTTAAAATTTTTAAATATTTTTCTTATAAGCTTTATTATTATTATTATTATTATTATTATTTTATTATTATTTTTTTTTTTATAGTGAAACAAACCTAGTTTATTAATTTTAGTATAGTATATATTACCTGAATTAATAAAAACTATCTACTAACCCTTTTTCTCTATATTTTTTCTATTCTAACCTATTAAAAAGCTAATTAATTTTACAATCTCCTTTAGTTTGTTGCCCTTTGGGAACTAATGTGCCTAAATTTTATTAGCATTAATATAAAAAATATGAAATATGCTGTATAATCATTTTAAAATATTACCTATTGTATCTAGTGTATTAGTTTGCTATAGCTTGTTTAGTTTTGTTTTTGTTTTGATTTCTGTTCACTATTAATTCTTTTTTCTTTTCTTTTTATAAGTGTTTTATTAATTTCCCAATCTTTTTCTTATTATGATATTCTTTTGTATCTGTTGATCCAAATATTAAAGATTAGGAATCTTATGTATTATATAATCCTTTTTAGAATATCAATAAACTTATTGCATCCTACTATTTCTATAATTAAGTTGTTTAGATCTTGCTAATTCCTTCTTTAAAAATAAGAGTATTTAAGTTTTTTATATTGAGTTCAACCTTGTTATTTATTATTTAAGAGAATTTTTTATTTTTTTTGTAATGCAATTCTCTCTATATATTTTTGTTTATTTTCTCATAAATATTGACATTGTATTAAGAATAGATAAAAGGGTGATTATTATTTTTTATATTATTATAACTATGATATCTGTTTATTTTATAAATATTGAGATATCTTTTGTATAGTTTATCTATTATTGAGAGTTCTTGGTTTTATAGTTTAATAAAAAAGTTACATTGTTGAGAGTTTCACTTGTTTGTTTATGAGATGGTGAGTTATGTTGAATAGAGAAGTATAAAGATGATTTATCATTTATTTCTTCATGATTAAATTAATTGGTGAATATGTTTCTGTTGAGGTGTTTCCAATTGATTGTGAGTTACACTTAATGGATTTGCTTAATACTAATTGAAAAAAATTATTTGACATATTGTCACTTGTATAACATTTGGCAAAAAATAAACAATTCAGTAAAAAAAATGATATAAATAAATCAGCAACTACAAAAATTGGTATATTAACAATTTGTCAAAAAATCTATTAACAATTTATCAAATAATTCATTAACAATTTGGTAATAATTCATTAACAATTTGACAATAATTCATTAAAAGTTTATCACAAAATTATTTATTAATAATTCAATAAAAATTTAGCACTAATTTATTAATAATTTATCAAAAAATTCATTAAAAATTCAACTATTCATTAAAAATTTAGCAACTATCCATTAAAATTATTTATTAAAAATTTGTTAACTATTTATTAAAAAACTAGTAACTATTCATTAAATTATTCATTAAAGATTCATTAAGTATTCATTAAAAATTTAACAACTATTTATTAGCAATAAAGTAAAAAAATTAATAAACTTATATATGATTTTCTTTTTGAATTGAGATTATATTTATAAATTATAAATAATACAAACTATAATATAATATATAATATGTCATTTATATTATTATAATTTAATTAAAAAAAAAAACTCTTTCTACTGATTCCTTTTTTTCTTAAAATTTTCCTTTTTTGATAATTTTCTTAAAAAAGAGAGACCAGCCTAAAAAACACCTTATTTCACAAAGATCCAAGACTTAATAACAAACTATAATATTCAATCATTCCTCCAAGAGATCACTTTATCGATTAAAAGAAGTTTTGACAATATAGTATTATACTAGCTTTACTTTATAAGAGAAGAAAAACACATCTACAAGTTGATTTACAGTAAGCTTAGAAGAGCCCAATATCAACTTCCCAAGCTTCTAGCCAGGCCAGTATCAGTTTACACCTTTCTAGGCACTAGAAGGAACTTTACAAACAATAGTTCCTATCAATAAATCAGGAAAAACTCAAAGTTTACAAAGCCCAGAAGAATATCAAAGGCTCCCAAGGACTAAACAGTAGAGTATTC